AACCAAAAAAAGTCACCTGGGGGGAGATGAGGTGAATAGGGAGGGTGGGACACAGGGTCATGATATTTTTGGTTAAAAACTGCTGAACACTCAGGGCAGTGTGAGCAGGTGCACTTGTAAATCACTCATGAAATGGGCAAATGCATTGAAAGCATGTCCAAAAAAAAAAAATTCACTGAAGCTGAATGCAGCCTCTCACAACAATGCTGGCTGGTACAGTGATGCCGATGGATTCCTAGAACACTTACCTAGCAGAGGAAGCCTGTGCTACAAGGGTCCTGGCCTCCAAAAGATAACTCTGGTTTATTGCGGTCCTCCTTCATAGTTTTTCCTCAAAATTTCGTGTGTTAATTTGTATTTATTTTTTCAAATTAGTATCTTTTAATCAATATTTTTATTTTATGGACTTAGAAATTAGTGAAGATATATCTAATAATTCACAGCAGAGAAAAAAAGGCAAAGAAGAGTTAGTAATAATATTTACTACCACAATGTCATCATCCCTCTAAGGAACTAGTGTGAAGACAGGCTGTGGAAAAACAACATTGTGTGCATTCTCTGGTGACTCACTCATTCTTTGACCCACTCATACCTCACTCATACCTATGTCCATGACAGTCTTTGTTTCAGCCTTCACTTTATTCCCTAGTCTCTACAGTTCATTATGTTATTTGATTGGTTTATATTTGACCCTTTATATTTTAAGTCAGTTGAGTTTGTGTTTTTTGTTACAAGCAAGGTTTTTCTTAGAGCCAAAGGTTTTCTGTGACATGCAGCAGAAGGTATCTGAACCAAAATAGAGGTATTCCACTGAAGAAGTGAAATTATACAACATTTAGAGGATTTCTTTGTTGAAAAACTGATTGAGTGATATATGTTGGTGGGAGGGGGGTTGTCCTTCTGCCTTAACAGCCTGGTAGACCATGTCGATTAATAGTTTATTTGGAGAGGAAGCATAGTAGTGGTTAAAGGCATAGACTCAGAAGCTAGACTGGTCTCAGATTCTAGTTCTCCCACTTCCTAGCTGTGATCTTGGCTAAGTTACTTCATGTCTTTTTTGGGAACAACAACAGTAGTACCTATCTCCTATAGTTTCTATAGGATTAAATGAGTTATATGTAAGGGACTTAGAATAATGCCTTGTATTAGTTAAACACCATGTAAAGTGTACCTGCACAATTAATGTGACATCTGGACTGAGACTTCAGGATGCTCCAGCTAATATTTTGCCTGTTAACTGTGCCCATGAAGAGGCATCTCTAGCATGTTTACAAGGAATATTCAAACTGTCATTGAATATATGTTTGAAAAGAACAATCTCACCCTGGACTGGTCAGATACATAGTCCTCATTTTTCCCTCCACTTGGTAGCTTCTACCTCATACTGTACCCTGTTGGGTTCACCTGTTCCAAAGATTAGTAGTGAACAGTTTCTTATGCTTCTCTTCTTCCTTGCTTCCTTCCAGCCTCTAAAAAGGATTGGGAGAATATTCCTAGTAATTTTAATGTGGAAAGAGGTATAACAAACTTGTTGACAATAGTAATTTTTGACCTATACTTTCTGACTGTAGCCTTCTTTCCTCAAGAAATCTTTCTGGCAAAATAGAGATGACAGAACTGTTGTATGGCAAGAGAGATGCATGGAAAGTCAGGAGCCTACGAGTAGAAGGATGGTTAGGAGCATTTGGGTGAGACTAGAAAAACAGACATAAGTGATAACGATTTGCAGGAGCTGCTTGGCTATGTCATTCAGGCAAACAAAACAAAAACAAACAAAAGTTGTTCAGGAAAGATAAGGAAATGAATGGTAGTCTCTAGATGAGAACAGAGTCCTTTTAACACTTAGATAACAGAAGAAAGTAAAGAAGAATGACTACTTTTGATTTAATTTTGGTCATGTGAGAAGTTGTTGCTGAAGTAGAAGTGGCTGAAATGATGAGAGAAAAATGACTGTCTTTCTGTGGCTCAAAATAGCCAAAGGAAAGAGTACTGGGACAAATCATATTGACACTCATATTAATTAGGCTGTATCTATCATAGCTTATTTCTAGATGCCACATTTTAAGAAAAAGATGGACAATCTATATCATGTCCAGATTTGGAAGCAGAGAATTGGAACAACACAGAACTAATAATTGAAGTTTTGTGAATATTTAGCCTAAAATTAGAAATCTTCCTAAGGATGAGCATAAGGATAAAGCAAACTTATAATTATAATATTTTGGGGTTTAGACTAATTTTGTGCCATTTCTAAGGTGTTGAAGTGACAGAAAAACATACTGATTCGGTTTTAGGAAAGTTTTCTTTCTTTCTTTTTTTAATTTTTAACACTTATAGCTATCCAGAATTGTAGTGCACACTCTTATGACATAGTCCTGTTTTGGAAATAGTGAATATCTAGTTCATAGATTTCGAGAAGAATTGCCCGTATTGGATAGGTGATTAAAGTAGATGGTCCATGCAGTCTTCAAGTCTGTGATTTGGAGGTTCGAAACAAAAGGACTCATTGGGATATGAAATATGGTAGGTGTTTTTTTGTTCCCTCTTAACATGCCCTTGATTTTGTTTGACGAGTTTGACTAAAGAAAAATGAAGAATTGATTTTGAAAGAAGTATTCCCCATCCTAACACTATGTTCAAGAATTGTGAAAAAAGTTAAGAAATTATATTTTTAAACATTTTACTTAAAATGAAGTAAAAATGCTTTGTGTACAGTTTTTACCATTCTGTTTTCAATATCAATGATATATTTCTAACTTAAAATATGTTTAAAAAAATTTTAAATGAATTACCCTCAGAAACAACCTCTGGTAACTTTTTGATATGCTTTTTTACAGCCTCCTTCTCTCCCCCACTGTGCACATATATGTGTGTGTGTGTGTGTGTGTGTGTGTGTGTGTGTGTGTGTGTGTGTACTAAAGCCAAAACAAACAACCCCCTCCCCAAAATGACCAGCATTTTAGCAGTTAGAATGTCCCCAGGATGAATGACATATTCTGAAGGTAATTGGGGCTTGCCGGTGCTGGTCTATGCTGGCTTGTTCCAGTCTAAACCCATCTTGCAGAGGGTCTGGACTTCCTCTGGTATCTGAC